CTCACCGTTAACTCCATGAACGAAGGCCGATCACGAAAATCATGACCGGTGACCGGCCTTCGTTCACGGACCCCGTGAACGGTGAACGGGGGTACGGCACTGCAACGAACCCTTGCCCTAGATGTTTCCTAGAAAGAAGAAGTCCCTGTCCCTAGGTGAAGTCACTTTTCCTATACTTTTTCACTAGGCGTTGACTTAGACGAAAAGAAAATAAGACAGAGAATAAAATTTAGACGCTTCTGGACAAGTACAAAAAGAAAAGTCATTTGGAATAGAACAAAAATATCTTTGGAAAATATAAAATCCTTCCCTTGTTTTTTTTTTTTTCATCCGAAAATTTCCTTCTTCCGACATCCATTATTTTTTTCCTTTTCCAATGTGTTGTTCTTTTATGTCTTGCAGACAGAAAAGGAGTCGAAGAAACATAGTTGAAGAAAGATAGACTTTTCATCATTTTTCTTGAGCAGGCATAATGCAAGTCTCTCTCACACACATCCTTTTACCTACTTGTACAAGAACAAAAGAAACAACCCAAACACCATCCACATCCTAACAAAGTCAGTCCACCTTTCTCACATTCATAAATTCACATACCTTATTCTACCTTTCCCTGAATCCAAAGCAAGGTCATGCGAAGTGTGGGTTCACATAGGTGTGAAGGGACACTGAGTCATTAATGACCTTGAGTGAAGTTGAAGATGGCTTAGTTTAGAAAGTCAAGTAATTCTCTCAAAGATCGGCCGCACAACTCACAAGTTGTGGCCGTCTGCAAAATGGATCCGCGTCCTTCTTCAAATGTCACCACGGATACAAGCGGCCACTCAAAGGACTAAAGTGAGATAACCCTCGAGGACGGTATTCTCACCTACAAGTCTCACATGGTCTCACTACAGTCTCAAAGGCACCTCGTCCACCAAAGATAGTTCCACCTCAATCCCAAGTTCGACCTCCTCCAATCTCCACGCCTGATTGTTAAATGTCCACCACAATTCTCGTCCCGATTCTAAATTCCCAACTCACTTGATCCCAAATTGAGTCCCAAGTGGTTCCACGTAGCTGCCGCACCACCAAATGATCCTCCAAAAAAATAAACTCGGATCGCGGCACATGTCCAAAAATAGTAGCACCTCCGGCATCAATGTCGTAAGTGTCAACGCCCTAACGGTCAAATGTCACGTTGCCAAAAGGTCACCGTCGTACACTCAAATACCGCCGGCAAAACCCCAACCTTGTCACGCAATCTCGGCAACACTCCCCCTCGAAATGTTGTAGAATACACCATGTCCCCGTCACTACCGTCATAAAGGAAAGATCCCGTTGTGCTGCACAAAAAGTTTGACATCACCTTCCCTCACAATTACCGCGGCGCAACCTCCTCACTGAGGGTGCACTTACTATTGAGAAGGCTTCCAAACAGCACCTCCGCCTCTTGAGCCTCTTGTCACACGGTCCGAGCTTGTTGCAACCTTCAGACTGTTGGACCCATTCTTCTCAGACTGTTCAATAATGCCTTGGAAGGCTTCCGCTTGGGGAAAGGAACGATGGAGGGAGCCATTTCTTTGATCCACAAGAAGAACGATAAGGCAGACATTCGTAATTGCCGTCCCATTACCCTTCTCAACGCCTCTGGCAAACTGCTGGCCAAGGTTCTATCACTGAGAATATGCAAGATCATACCTTCTCTGGTTCACCCTGATCAGTCAGGCTTTGTGACCGGACAACAAGTCCTGGATAATATCTTGACGATCATGCAGGTGTTAGGTAATAGAGGTCATTAAAAAGAAGGAATCAGGTGAGGTCATCCTTCTGATTGATTTTGAGAAGGCATATGATAGAGTGAACTTCTAGAAGTCCTCACTTGAAGGGGCTTTGGACCCCACTTCAGAACGTGGGTCAAATTCTTATATATGGATTCCCAGGCCTCGGTTGTGGTCAACGGAATGAAGTCGGAACCCTTAAGTCTCTCAAGATCCCAACGCCAAGGGTGCCCCTTGGCGCCCCTGCTTTATGTCTTACAATAGGAAGTACTCTTGGACATGATTAGGGCTTCGCCGAACATCAAGGGACTAACGCTGGGGCCCTCACAAGAGATCAGAGCCTCAGCTCCCGCGGACAACCTCTCGGTCATTTTTGTTAATTCCCTATCTTCCCTCCAGGCAGTATCCAACTGTCTTTCGCTGTTTGAGCAAGCCTCAAAGGCAAAAGTTAATTGGAGGAAATTTGTTGCCTCGTCCCGAGACAACTCCCCACTGGCCCTAGACTTGGGGCTAGAGTTGAGAAGAAATGACTCTTCAAAACAATTTTCAGGAGTCGAAATCTCCTTTTCAGATTGCCAAACAAGACAGAACCAGCTCCTTGAGGACAAGGTCTTTAACAGACTAGCCAAATGGCCCTCCTTCAGGTCCATTTCCCTGTTTGGAAGAGCCCTCGTCATCAATGCAGTTGTATTCTCTGTCCTCTAGTATGTGCTCACAGTGAGAGCAATTGCCCCATCCACTGCGAAAAGGATCAGGAAAAGAACTGCTAACTACCTTTGGAAGGGGACTGTGGAGTGCGGCAATGCCCTCCCCAAGGTAGCCTGGTGGAAAATCACTCAGAAGCGTAACAATGAAGGGCTTGGCCTATTGGATCCGTTGATCCAGAACCAGGCCCTCATGAGTAAGTGGGTGATAAGAGGCCTGTTGGACACAACCAAGAAGCCATGGATCATCTTGGCTGAAACCATATTGGCCCAAGAATGGGGCCTCGCTAGGCCCCAAGATGTATGGGTCTGCATTATGCTACAGTCATTTCTCAACAAGGGGACTCAATCCGAAATCTGGAAGCCAATTCTAGAGGCATGGAAGACGATCCTACCAACCATGCTGAGAGAGATGGAGTGTAGATACGAAGTTCTGTGACGAACCAGTTTCTGTTCCGCGCGATTTTCTGCGCGATGACAATGAGGGGTCCTGAGATGGGAAGGTTGGGCCAATTACGGGAGATCGGAATCAAAGGGACAATTGCATCGAAGTCCTCGTTTCTTCCTCTTTTTTTGCGTTGCTTCTTTTCGGATGGCTGGGTTCAGGGTTGGGTAAGTCCCGGAAGGATCGGTTGAGTGGTTGGCGCGCCCACAGAAGCGCGAATAAGACTGTGTGAGGTCACTTCTTTCTTGTTTTGTTGTCAGGTTTTTGGCGCGGTGATCACGCGTGAAATTTTGCTTCTTTTTTAATTTCTTTTTCGAATTTTGTCGAGCCCTTGATGGCTCTCGGAATTTCAGACTTTCTTTCGAGATTTGTGCTTTATTAAAGCTCCTTTTGTATTTTTGCGTTAGATAGGAATTTAGGAATTTAGGAATTTGGAATTTCTTTTGCCGCGCGGTGTTGTTGTCCCCGTGCTTCTTTTTGCGGCTACAACGGAACTCTGATTAGTCGGTGCCCTTAATCTTGCGTGTAACTGTAATTTTGAGCAGGGCGCCTTTGTAATTGTATCTCTCTTCTAGAGCTTCGTCATTCCCGGTCGCTCGCTTATGTGCTGTGTCTAGTTGGCCCGCGGGCTGTATGCTCAGATCGATGAGTGGAGAGTGGCTACGTCCCCCACGCCGCGATTTGGCCATACAGAACGTAGGCGAGTCCCCTTCTCTCCTTCTAAGTCCTTGCAATTCTGTGTTCTTTTCGCATGCATGCACACTATAAATTTCGGCTGCGTGATTAGATAGCTCCCTTAAACAGTTGCTGAAAGCTCAGGGAGTGCGATAAGTGAGGGTCGGCTCACGAGTGAAGTAAGAGGTGAGTTGAAGTAGGAGTTGGGCGACCCGACGAGCTGGTGCCGAATGTACCGGATTGACGCGTGGGGCTACGACGGACTGTAGCGCACGGGGGAATCCGACGGGCACAAGTGGACTAAGCGGGGTAACAACTTCGTGGGTTGTGTATCTTTTTAACGGAGAACGGGCGGAGTTAAACACCCGAACACTCGTTAAATGGGCCCCAGGACTCCCGTTGAATCTCGTTAAACGCAAAAACGGGGGCGTCGCGTCGAATTCCGAAAAACGGAATTCGCACGTTGGGCCTCGGACACCTGTGCCTACGTGCTCGAACACTCAAACCGGGAAAAATAAAATAAAATTTCACCCCCAGTTGTC